AGCTTATCTGGCTATGTGGGCTGGGGTTCAGGGGCAGTTTATGGGCTGGGTCAGGCCCATGGACCCCCCTCCCCTGCCCTGAGTTCTGGATCCAGCACACACAGCACATGCTTTGGCCAGCCTGAGATTGCAGCACCCATGTGGAGCTGGTCTGTGACATGCAGTGTATGTGGTGCCCACTCTGGGACCCAGGCCACATGCAGTGCAGGTCCCAGACCAGCAGGGCCATATGCCAGGTACAACACAGGTCCTAGGCAGGGGCAGATGGGGGAGAGGCGCACTGGTGCATTTGCATGCCCCTTTGATATCTGTTTCACCCAACATTTAATAACAACTGCCTGGCACTGGGAGCAGCATCTCTTATCACCAGGCAGCAGTAAGAACATCCACTGAATTCATGACTCATTAAAATCCATCTAATTCCTTCTGAATTCATCATTCCACTCCACAGGTGTTAAGGACCCTCTCTCCTTTTTAATGGTCTTTGACATTCCACCAATCAAGTGGTCCTTTGTTCTGCCATTCTGCTGTATGTTTGCTCTTCCTGGTCATGTAGGACATTTGTACACAACACAGCGGTTTAATTCTCCCTAAATTGAAGCAGTGGCTTTTTAAAAACACCATTTCAATTTAGGGCGAAGTAAACCCCCATGTCATGTACACCCGTGTCTACCTGATTCTTATCTGCCTCTCCAGTGGCGGGAGGGGAGAGTGAGCTGCTGGCAGGCAGACAGGTCCCTGAGCTGCAGAGGGGAGGGGCTGGTGCTTCCCTTCATGGCAGCCCCTCCCCCCAGGTGGCACCTGCCAGCAGGCACCCAGCTTGGGCAGTCCCAGGGTGTACCACAGCCACAGAGAGAAGGACTGGGCCCCCACACAGCTCAGGCAGGCAGGCAGGTTCCATGTGGGGGGTGGGGGAAGATCAGGCTCACTGCTTTTTTTTTCCTTCTCTGGAACCTGCCTTCCTGGGATGCTGCTGGGCTGCCTGCACTGCCCCTGAACCACACAGAGCCCAGTGCTTCCCTTCGCGGCTGTAGGGTAGGAAACTAAAACTCCTTGCAGATGTTTTACTTTGCAGCGCCCCAAAGTCATTTGCTGCCTCCCAAAGTAATTTAAGGTGCATTACATTGCTGAATGTGCTACAGCGACTGGAATTAATGTGCGATACGTCACTGAATGTGCAAACAGCAAGGCCATTAAAACAGTGCAAAAGGCCTTTAACCCACTTTAAAGTGGTAACCCACTACAGATGCCCATAGATCCTATTTCACAGCCTTGAGGCTGTTTTTAACATATTTTAACATATTCCAATAAAGTGCTCTTTCTTTTTGTTTCCATCTTAAACTGAATGGTACAGCCCCAGGTCCCTGGCATAGGAGTAAAGCTTCTAGTTCTCTAGTTCACGTGAAGAAAAATAGGTGGTGTGTCTTATGAGATAGTGAACCTTGTCAAAATCCTAGGTCTGCCTGTGCCCTGGGCTCTGTGCATGGGGCCTATCCAGTGTGTGCCAAGTGTGGGTCAACTCTGAGATCCAGGGGCGGCACTGGGGGGCAGATGATCATAGAAATAAAAATCATAGAAAATGAGGGCTGGAAGGGACCTCAGGAGGTCATCTAGTCCAACGCCCTGCAGGACCATCGCAACCTAGATCGCCCAGCCAAGGCTTTGTCTAGGCCTTAAAAACCTCCAAGGATGGAGACTTCACAACTTTTTTGGGTAGGCTGTTCCAGTATTTTACTACCCTCCTGGTCAGAAAGGTTTTCCTAATATTAACCAAATCTTCCCTTGATGCAACTTGAGACCATTGCTCCTGTTTCTGTCATCTGCCACCATCTGCCACAGTGTAACTCCATCTCTTCTGTTACCATCCTTCAAATTGAAGGCTGCTATTAAGTCCCCCTGAGTCTTCTCTTTTCCAGATGATGGGACTCTGCCAGCTGAATCTGGCCCACAGGCTGTATCTTTGACACACTGCTGGTATAGAGTACCCAAAGCATGCAAGTGTGCTTGTGCATGAATGGCACGTGCCCCCCATGGCTGGGGGGCCATGGCTGCACCGGTGGCAGTGGGAGCACAGTGGTGCGGAGCGGGAAGCTCCTGGAGATGCCGCCGGCACTGTTGGTGGGGGGCTGGCGAGTGCTGACCATGGGTCGGCGACCACCTGCAGGTGCCGCCAGTAGTGTCAGCAGTGGCCAGGGGTGGTCAGGGACTCGCAGTGGGGCGGTAAGTGGCAAGGGGTGCACCGCCACACACAGAGAGTGCACGTGAACCCGCATGCATCCCCTACGCATCACCCCTGTGCATCTATCTATCTAGTAGCCAAAGCATGTGTGTGTGCGTGCGTGTGTGTGTGTGTGTAATAGCCAGCTAGACAGATAGATATTATATACATGCACATATGTTTTGGTTACTCTGTATAGAGATAGCTAGATAGATGGGTACATCAGAAGCTTTCCTCAGCTGAGGGAAGGAACCCAGCAGTGCTTGGAGGAGAAGGGGGTGAGGGAATGAGTTCCCCGCTCCTCAGAGGAAGCTGGGTCTGTGGCACTGGGGGGCACACTTGGGAGAAGGGACCCCCAGTATGCTGCGATGCCCTTCTGGGGTGCCCGGGGTTACTACGGGCAGGATGGCAGCATCAAAAAGCCCCCCTCTGCTACCAACCAGCCCCGGGGCAGGTGTCTGGAGGCTGCCTTTGTGATGAGCCCGAGTACCCCTGGGTTCAGACCCAGTTCTCAACCAAGACCCTGAGCAGAGGCTCCTGCCGCGCAGGGCAGCCTAGCTCAGCTTAATACCAACCCCTGGGGGCCCCTCCCCTCTAAGCACCGCTCACCGGGAGGGCGGGCTTCGGAGGTTTCCGGAGAAGCTTCGGCTCCTCTGTGGAATCCCTTTGCTGGGGGCTGGGCCTGTCCGGCAGCGGGCGTGTCCGGGTGCAGGGGCGGGGCGTGGAGCGTAGCGGGCTGGCGTTCGGCTCCCGCTTCCCCGACCGGGCCGCCGCCGCCAGCCCCTGGCCAGTCCTCTCCCAAGGGGGGGGAAGCGCGCAGCGCCCCTTCGCAAGTCTCGCCGCCGCCTCCCTCCTGGGGCAGCTCGCAGCGACTTGGCCGAGGTGAGACATGAGCTGCAGCGGGGGTGGAAGGGATTCCCCCGTCCTGCCCCGTAGTTGTAGGGGCTGTGTTCGGGGGAGCCTGGGTTTTTCCCTCCGGGCCCGGCCCGGGCTGGAGGCAGGGGCTGGGCTGCCTCGCAGTTCCGCTCCTGCCTTGCAGGGTTAACAGCTGCTGGCCCTCGGCTCTGACTCACTTCGCAGCTATTGTTTCCCCCTCAGCCGCGGGCTCTGGTCTGCTAGGAGCTGAGCCCGGCGCCTCCTGTAATGTCTCTTCTGGCCGCAGCACGTCGCGGCCCCCCGCCCCGCCGTAAGGATGGAGACTTGGGCTCCTGCCACACCTTGCATACATTGCGCGATTCACTGGGGGCAGGGGTCGAATTACACTTTGACTCTTGGGGAGGGGGCGCTGCAAAACATTTTAAAGCGATTTATTGGAAGGGATAATCAGGAGACCCCCTCCAGGTTATGATTTTCAAATCTTACAGCGGGGCTCTTGTCTCTTATGGGGGGGCTCAGCTCCCCCATAATTCCCACCCTGACTGGGGGGTTGTGCAGTACATTTAGATGGGCCCCATGTGCCAAGCAATGAGTGCATAACTCACAGGTCATCCACGCAGTGAATGTAAACCAGCCCCAGGTGCAAAGGTACAGTCATGCAATTTGCTGGTGAACAGCGCAATGAATTTAGGCCAGCCCCCATATGCCAAGTCATGATCATGACATAAAAATGTCCAACCAGCTATAAAAACAACCAACCAGCTCTGAATGTAATGCTTGAAAATGTGTAACAACTCCCTAGCTGGTTTCTAGGCAGCTTTCATTTGGATGCATGGCAGGGCCCTCACACAAGTCCCATGTTTATGAAAGTGTTGCACTTGGAGTATCCCATTCTGCTTATTTGAACACTGATAGACTTGCTGCTGCTGCATTTGCTGTGCTGATGGTAGTTTATAAGGTAGACATAGTAGACCTTAAAGATTAAAGTGATCAATAGTAATTTCACCAGAGGCTACTGTTTCAGCCCAGAAGTCTCCCAATGCCTGACAAAGGATGTTTGTGCCCAAAAGCTTGCAAATAACTTTTTTTCCATTTATTTAGTAGATCTAATAAAGGATATCACATCTACCCAAATAACCTGGCCTGCAAGCTGCAAACTAAACTGCTACTTTTCTTCCTAGAGTCCTGCAAAGTCAGATAAGTTAAAGGGGCCACTCACATGCGGGGAAAACTTTGCAGGATTGGGGTTTGTAGAGTTAAGAGTGTGTTGATGTTTCAGTGGTTAACAATACTGTCTTGCATTTAAAGGTATACATTTATTTTAAAAATAACCAAAAGTAGGTCTCAGACTGAAAATATTGTACTTATAAAATGTCCAATTTCTGGTCTCAGCAAGCACTTTTACACTTCACTTTGTAGTAAAAAGTCAGAAGTGGGAGTCTTGCAGTAACACAAACTTGACAGTTGGGAATATGCAGTGTACATAAATAAAATTTGAATTTGACAGTTGGCCGTATGACACCCCTTTTTCCAGAAAAGAATACGGTTATTTTTCAGTTCAAGAAAAGCAGAAGCTATGCTCATTTTCTTCATGTAATACAATTTAAGGTTCTTAGATGTCACACAAATCCACAACTTTCTGGCATGCTGACTGCAAAGCCTGTCTTCTGTGCTCATATCTTGATGGTACTGTGAGGGGAGGTTGGAGATGTATGTAAAATATATATTTTTTTCTTAGTTGGAGTACAAGTTCTCACTAAAAGAATTGGCATTTTTTATTCTTTCATAATAGGAAGAGAACTTTTGTTCCACAGCCTTTGTTCCTTATCTTTCGTAGGTGGCGAAGGCCAGTGGCAAGTAGTAAATTACTTGCTTGTGGAGATGGTCCGAGTGCCTCTTGAAAAGAGACAACCTTCTTTCTTCTTGAAGGAGGCATTAGTGCAGCTTTTGTTCAAAGTCATTACTTGATTCTGCCAATTTAGCTAATGTTAATCTATGTCCCAATTTAGCTAATGTTAATCTATGTCCCATCTTCTTTTCTTGGGTCTGATGGTGGAGAGTACTGTGGTAAGAATTCTTGCAGTATCTCAGTGCTGATGGGTGAAGGGTGTTTTGTGCACAAAAGCTTGCAAAGAAGAGTTTTTCCAACTATTTTGATTGGTCTAATAAAAGTTATCAGATTTATCCAAAGAATCTAGTCTGCCTATGTCCTTAGACCAACACAGCTACTACAAACACTCCTGCAGTATCCTTTGACTTTCTTTACTGGTGTCAATTTGGCTATAGACTTGGCTTTGGTATGGGGGCTGTACTGGCTGGCAGTCTCTTCCTGTGAGCAGTAAAGATCAAGTGTGCATGTTCTGGTACTGTTAATCAACTGCCTTCTATAGCATTGATCACAAGGTATTGCTTATTCACCTGTGGGCAGTTTATCTTCCCAAGGAGCTTCCAAATGTTGTTCTGTCACCCTTTCTGTTCAATGTGTGTGTTAGGCCATTAGTAGATTTGCTAAAGTGGCTTGAAGAGTGGCCTATACAAATGCTGCTTGGTATGCTTTCATCTGACTGCAGTGATGCAGTTAAGCACCTTGGTGTCAAACTGAGATTGTGACAAAAGATTTTTTGCAAACTGGCTGAAGCTTGACTCAGGTAAGATGGAGATAATGCTGGCAGATTCGGGAAGTAATAGCAAGTGCTTGAGGGAGCAGATTCACTATTAGTTACTATGTTTTTTTGCTGAAGAGTTGAGTTAGGCCCCCAGCTGCTACTTGATAATCACTGTAGTAGTGAACTAGTTTATTTTTATCAACTGCAGCTGGTCAGAAGGCCCTTTTTCTGGAGGGAACATTACTATTATGTAATCTTGAAGCACCTAAATCAGTGGCAAAATTTTTGGCAGTGTGCTACTTGTAGACTGAAGCAAAGTGCAGCACCTTGCTTGTTGAGTGAGGTGCTTTGTTGGGAACATCTGTGCTCCAGGATCTGCAGTGGTCTTCAGGTCGATTTAAGTTGTTGTTTATATATTAAAAAGCCCTACGTGGGCTGAGACTTGCTGCTTCCTGAGTTCCATACTGACCACACTGTAGTCAGAAGGCTCTTTTGCATTGGATCCCTTTTGTTACAGAGGAGAGGGTATTACTGGCCTGGTGTTTTCTGGGAGAGCACCTAGACTTTGGCGATTTGTTTCCCACACTTGTCTGAAACGGCTTGATTTTTAGCAACCTTCCAGGCACGTTTTAAGAGCACTTGCTAAGGTTCTTGGAAGGGGAGGATGGTGGTCTTCGTACAATGAAGTAAGGGTTAAGAGTAGTGTTTTGATATGTTGCTGACCAGGTTACCCTTTGGCTGATTGTTTTAATATTACTGGTATGCTGTTGTAGTATCAATGGTGTGCTGGGTTTCCAGGAACCTTGTATTCTTACCTTTTCCAATTCTTACTTATATTGACATAACAAGTTCTGTGCCATACAACACACAACATAAATACAGGAAACCCCCGCTTAGTGCTCTTAAATGGTTCCAGAAAAACTGAGCGCTAAGCGAAACTGCGCTAAGTGAAATCCATTTGCCTGTAGGAATGAATGTAAATATAGGTAATTGGTTACCACCGCTTCTTGCCACCACCATCTCTCCCCATTAGCCTGCTGGCCACTCCAGTCCCACATGCCAGCCCAGGCCTGCATTCCTGCTGCCTCACTCTGGGCCCCTCCTGGCCCTTGTCCCAGGCACCAACGCAGGCCCTACGCAACTGGCACTCCTGTTGTCCTGCTCTAGCCATGGGCCCCTGCCAGCCCTGGCCCCGGGCCTCACATTCCTGCAGCCCTACCTGGGTGCAGGCCCCCATTGGCCCTGGGCACAGGCCCTGCACTCCTCACCATCTCCGCTGCTTCGACTGGTGAACTCAGGTGGTGGAGCATCCCACAGGAGCGGGGTGGATGTTTGCAGCTGGCCGGGAGTAGGGGGGTTTGCAGCGTCCCTGCTACGTGCCAGCCATCTGTAAACCCCCCACCGCCCCGGCCATGGGGCGCTCCACTGCCTCACCAGTCTGTATTCACTAGCCATGCCTGGCTTCTCCCTACCCCACCATGCTCACGCCTACCCCCCACTCGCTGCCACTCACTGCACTTGCTGCTGCTGCCACTGCTGCTTCTCCCCGCCTTCCTGCTAAAACTCGGTGATTCCACTGAGCACTACAGCGAAAATGGCTGAGCGCTCAGTGAAACCAGGTATCAATTTTAAATGAGCGCTATAGCAAAATAGCGCTAATCGAAACCGCATTAAGTGGGGGCTGCCTGTATGGGTCCCTCACATAAGACTGTGACAGTGCTAGAGAGACCTATGGATCCTGATGCTGGATGCAACACTGAAGCCTGTTTCATTGTTGTCACAAGCCCTGATGTTTTCTAAGAACACCATCTGCTCCGCCTTCTTTAAATACAGTGCCCTTAGGTAAAGGAGCATAACTGCCCAGTTATGCCTGATTAAAAATCTACTCTAAAGTTTTGGCGTCAGTGGCTGTGGGTGTCAATGAGTTGCATCAAATAAATTGTGTAGAAGTCAGGGTGGGGTATCAGTTTTAAAGTCTAGACTCTAAGGTACTGTCCCTGCCTTCTACCTGACTTCAGACTAGCACAGGGGTGGGGAAAAATGCGGCCTGGGGGCTGAATGTGGCCTGCTAGGCCATTCTATCCGGCCTGTGGGGCCCCTAAAAAATTTAGAAAATTAACATTTATCTGCCCTGAGCTGCCTGTCATGTGGCCCTCAATGGCTTGCCGAAACTCAGTAAGCAGCCCTCTTCCCAAAACAATTGCCTGCCCCTGCTCTAGCTGCTGCTCCTGTCCCATGTGCTGCCACCACCTAAGATGTAGTCTTCTCTCTGTAAGATGCACATCTTCCATTTGACAGTGGAGGATGCTCATGCTTTCTGGTGTATGCAGATTGTAAACTCTGCATTAGTTGGGTGCTTCACATCCAAAGATGCATTGTGCAAGGATCTTGGTTGTTATA